CCATCTACATGCGTTTCTTTAGGCAAATGAAGATGGAAACACTAACTCATTAGTGGAAGCATATTTTTTTTAATTTTTACATGTCGCATTTCAAATGTATTGCATCTCCCAAATAACCTCAAAATATAATTAATCATGCTATTTTATTACACATGACATTACTGATCAGTCTGCAAATTAAATACATTAGAATAAAATTTTAATTGAATTTTACACAAGAGTTAGAAGAAGAGACATTAGAAAGATAGTATATGGATTCTAGCCCTTACTAACCAAGTGGCATGGAACAAGCAACATGTCATCTTCTGTGCCTTAGTTTCCTCTACTATAGAGGAAAGGTACTACTAATCCCTACCTTACAAAATTTTAGGTGAATTTAATGAACTAACTCATACAAAGCTCTTAGACTAGTAATTGAAACATAGGAATGATATTTAATTGGTAGCAGATTTATTACTTTCATCTCTATTCAACACATTTAATATGTTTATGTTTATAAATCTATAAGAAAACAGCTGCTAAGAAATGTATTAGCAACTGGGTGTGGTGGGGCATTCCTATAATCTCAGTACTTGTACTGGAGAGACTGAGGCAGAAGAATCATTGTGAGTTTGAAGCTAGCCTATGCTACATAGTGAGTTGAAGATCAGCTTGAAATATAGAATGAGACTTTGCCTGAAAAACAGACAAACAAAAACAAAAACAAATGGAGTCACATCCTATCTATTCCGTAGTGTACTAGAATTTATAGATAATTAGTCCAGTAAGACAAGAAAAACTCTGCTGTGTTAGATTTGAAAAACAACTCTAGCATGACTGATATTAATCACAGAAAAGTTTATTCACATAGAAAGCTTAGAGAATATACAATTTCTAGAACTAATGAGAGTTCAGTCACAGTACTGCAAGTAATATTAATATACCAGAATCAATTTAATTTTTACACACTATAAATTGTAATAAAAATAACATCATTTAGCAACAAAAAGACTAGATTCCTAAGAAATGTCAGAGGTCACATACACTGGCTTCCACACAAAATAGGAGTAGGTTCTCAAGAAAGCAAAGGTCTCTGCCTGAGCACATAGGACCTGAATCAGCAAAGGGAAGATTTCAAGCCCTTTATTATCAGAGACCCCCATAGAAACACAGTCCTAGTGTTTCATAGTCCCAGCAATTGGAAGGCTGAGGCAGTAAGATCACAGGACTGAGACCAGCCTGGGCAATTTAGCGAATTACGAAGATCCTGCTTCAAAGTAAAAAATAAAAACAGCTGGGAACATAGCATAGCAGAAAGCCCTGGATAAGTCTCCAGTATGTATGAAGGAAGGAAGGCAAAAAAGAAGGAAGAAAGAAGGGAGAGAAGTAGGGAGGGAGGAAATGAAGGGAAGAAGGAAAGTCAATTCTATTGTTAGCCTTAGGAATTTGGGGAATGTTGTCAGGAACAGGTGCCACTATCATAGTCCATTGTTCTGTGGAGGGTGGATTAGGAGAAAGGGAGTCCTTTTCAAGGCAAAACTGCAAGCTCAGTTAGGAGAAATAATACAAATATTTTGAGAACCCAGAATACACAGGAAATTGCACAGAAATCTTCCCAGCTGCTTCTGTCAGCTCTCATAGGCATTCATAGAGGCCTCTCACGTTGAGGCCACCTCACTCCCTTACTGATGGTCTTACTACAGTGAGGTGGTCGTAGTACAGTGGGAGAACTGATATTAGCAGTGTGGTCCCATATTGAACAGAAGGTGACGGAAATCAAGGTGAGGACACTGTTTGACTGAGGGATTTTCCTATCCCTAGGTGAATTTCCTATGTTTAGTTGAATAGGACCCATGGATTTCTGCCCTTGTTCTCAGTACAAGTTGAATAGGACTCATGGCTTTCTGTCCCTGCTGCCAGCCCTGAGAAACCCTAGGGTATCCCCTGCTACAGTGTATACCAACTTTCTCAGGAAGTAGCACTTGCTGTGAAGAGATTGGACTTCGGGGAGCAAATCAGAAGAATTCTGGGCCGTGTCAGAATTCAAGGAGAGGAGAAAAAGGCATAACAGGCCCTCTTCATCACCCCCCCCCCCCGCCGCCGCGTGCACTTTTATCCCTGAATGACTCTAGGCAGGGTTCCTGGATGCGTTGTACTACAATATTCATTTTCCAGTCAGGGTGGACTTTTTTTTCTATTAATTAATTAATTTATTTATTTATTTGGTACAGAGTCTTGCTATGCAGCTCAGACTCATAGTGATACTCCTGTCTCAGTTTCCCTAGCACAGAGATTATAGGCATGCACTACTATGCCCTGTTTAGTTGACCAGCACAGCGTGCCTGAGGTTCTAGGGAGGCATGGCCAGCATACGGTACCTGGGATTGAACTTGGGTCCCTGCACTTACCAGGCAGGCACTTAGACTCTCGAGCTATCTCCCCAAACCTAGACTTTTTTTTTGAGGGTGCTTCACTCATATATGCAGAAGGGGTGTCCCAGGCAGTGTCAAACATTAAAATGAAAATATATGGGACAGTAATCCTACCTCACCTTGGCAGTTGCCGTGGGGAGGCTCTGGGCAGGTACACTTGCGATTTCCTGACTTCTATACCTGAAGTCTGAAAGAGATGAGGGCTATGGATTGTGATGAGCAAAGAGAGTAGTCTCATGCTCGGCCAGGCTTTTTTAAATTCTCAAGAAGGGTTTTCAGTACTTTTCACTACATCAGATAGGCAGGGGTTTGGGAGGGATGAGACGTTTTGGGTAATGGGAGCATTGTGGTGCTGGGGATAGGGGGATAAATCCCACCTTACACATGCTGTCAACTTTGCAATGCTATCAGGGCAAAGGGGATGCGTTTCCTGACATCTGTTTTTGGAGTCTGATGGTAGAGGTACTTTTCTGAAGCAGCCTGACTCCCTCAGTAGGGGATAGTGTCCCAGGCAATACCAGGCATTAAGATGGAGATTCTAGAGGAAGTTATTAGAGGCTCCAGGGGAAGGAGCCAGAGGTGGGAGAGGGAGCCAGAGGTGAGGGAGGAGCCAGAGGCTGGACAGGAAGAGCTACAAAGAGGGGGAGGAGTCAGGGGTTCCCAGCAGGATGAAGCGGGGTTTCCCGATGAACTTCCTGTTGGGGTTGCCCTTCGCATCCATCTTGGAATGGGAGAAGCCGCTTTTTCTGTTGGGCTCCGCTGGGATTAACAGAGGAAGAAGTCTCCGGTGGTAAGATATATCAAGGGATTCTCCACCAGACAGAATGTGACTCACAAAACCCCACTCCAGTGGTCAGCTCAGGGATGCTCCACCTGGGACGGTCAAGCAGACACCTACTTTAATCCTCCATACTTCCTTGTTGGGGTCTAGAAAGACGGGAATTTTGGCTTGAGAACTGCATTCTCAATTCAGGAGAAAGGGCGCAGTTCAAGCTCTGTCCACACAAAAATATAAAGAGGGGGCCCATGAGATAGCTCAGCAGACTAAAACGACTGCTTAGGCGAGTGCAGGGACTGTCGTCTCCGGAGCCACAGGCCGGGCCGGCCCCTCCCCCAGGCACATTGAGCCTGCCCCTCAGTCCGGACCAGTCTAGTGGCAACACGCCTGTAATCCCGGCACTGGAGAGGCTGAAAACAGGAGGATCACCACGAGTCTGAGCTGAATAGTGAGAGCCTGCACCAAATATATATATATAATTTGGGGAGGACTGAGGGTACCCAACCCCAGAACCCAAAGAAATCTCTATAGAAATTCATTGTTATCCCAGCTATTGGCCCTGGGGCCACTAAGGAATGTTTCTAGCCTGAAACTCCTCCTCCCTTGCTTATTTTCTGAAGGGAAAAGCCTTTGCCAATTAAAGAGGAGTCCCAAGCACTCCTAGGCATAAACACTCAGGTTGCGATCAGATAGAGAACCATAGAAAACTGTGCTTTTTATTGAAAGTCCCAAGAAGCCGTTTTTTGCTTTTTGCTTTTTATTTTGAGACAAGGTTTTACTGTGTGGTGGTTCAGGCTGGACTTTAACTCACTTTGTAATGTAGGCTGGCCTCAAACTTGCAGCAGTACTCCTGCCTCATGCTCCCAAGTATTGGGATTACAGGTCTGAGCCACCTTGCCTGGTTTCCCAGGCACAGTCCCTGGCTTTGCAAGGCATAAAGGCAAAAGTCATGAGGATGGATTAGTATACCTACCCCTTTAGGAATACTGGCCTCAGCCCTTACTGTCAGCCATAGATAATTGTGGGCAAGGTTGGATACATGTGGTATTCCTCACTTTTGTCTCATTGGTCTCAGGGAGGTGACATCCTTGACCAAAGCAGGTGACTTCACAATAGCAGATGTAGCTACATCTGGTCATCCAAGACAAGGGAGTCAGGATCTGCTAGGAGTCAAGGTAACAACTCTGAATAAGAAATGAGAGGGTTGCCATGCCCTTGAAGAGCTAGGGTCCCTGACCAGAGAAGCCTTGGTGCTAGGTGTCAGACGTAGTGTGTCTTTCCTCCCATCCAGTGGTCTCAGCATACTGGACTCTCAGGTCTTTCTAGTAGTCACTTTGAGAATGGAGGGTGCATCTACACAAGAACAGATGTTGCTCAGCACCTCTTTGTTCCTACTTCTCAGAGGTCTCTTCCACTTTATGACTGTGGAGATCTTACAGAGTTCATTCCCACCCACCTGTCAGCCCTGGTGTGTTCTTGCAGTCTGTAATCTGGGAGCACCTCAGTTCCTTTTTCAGGAACTGAGGATGAAAGGCTTGAAAGGAGTCACATGTTCTTAGACCATGCCCATGGAGAAGTTTATATCCTGCATGTGTATGGAATGCCATACCACCCCAGAGAAGAAAGGACTCTGCAGCTCCTAACTGCAGCCAACTCCCCACTGTCAGCCCTGGAAGCCTCAGAGAGCTTTCTCATCCTCCTCCAGTGGAAAGGGTAAGTTTCTCCTGTTTTTCCTCTCTATTTCAGGCAAGTTCGGTCCACTTCCCTTCTCCTGCCTACACTCTTGCCAGCTGTCCTCAACACAAGTTATGATGCCTCACATCAAGAAGCATCAGCACCACAAGTTGCAGGATGAAAGAAAGGCCCAGAGCCTGGTGCCTGGGCAAGTTTCTGCGACTCTGGAGGTAGATACCACAGTTGCCTCCTCTTCTACTCTGATGCCAGCCACCCTGGGTGATTTACCCACTGCCAGAGCATCAAGTCTTCCCCAGAGTGTTCAGGAAGCTTTCTCCTCTATTTCCATTAAAGCTACTCCATCAAGCAAGTCAGAGAAAGATTCAGGAAACCAAAAAGGGAAGAGCCAAAGCACCTCACAGGCTCGTCCATTCTCTGAGTTCTTGCTCACTAATATGATAGAGGATAAAGTGATTAAGATGGTAAAGTTTCTGAGTGTCACATCTAAGGAGCCTGTTACTGAAGCAGAGATGCTGAAGAGTGTCATCAAAGAGCACAAGGATGCTATGCCCGTGATCTTCAGGAACACCTGTGAATGGATGAAGATGATCTTTGGCATTGATGTGAAGGAAGTGGACTCCATTAACCACTCTTACATACTGGTCAAAGCACTAGACCTCACCTATGATGGAAGGTTGAGTGATGACCAGGGCATACTCAAGACTGGCCTCCTGATACTTGTCTTGGGCATAATCTACATGGAGGGCAACTGTGCCCCTGAGGAGAAGATCTGGGAAATGCTGCAGAAGATTGGGGTGTATCCTGACAAGAAAGATTTCATCTATGGGTATCCCAGGAAGATCCTCACCAAAGAGTTGGTGCAAGAACGTTACATAGAGTACAGGCAGGTACCCAACAGTGATCCTGCTCGCTATGAGTTGCTGTGGAGTCCAAGAGCCCATGCTGAAACCACCAAGATGAAAATTCTGGAGTTGTTCTGTGCGGTCACTGGAACTACCCCCTCGGACTTCTCGTCCTTGTATTTGGAAGCTTTGAAAGAGGAACAATAGAAAGCCAAGCCTGTAATTGCTACCGGGAGTGGTAATGCTGACATGGTCAGTGCACAGGCCAGCACCAAGCCCAGTAGCTTCTCTGGGCCTCATTAAACTCTGAGGCAGATTCCTTGCTCTTGTGTTGGAAAAGGGAAGTCAAAGTCCTAAGTAGTGAGGAAATTTCATGTTTTCATTTTTTTAACCTGAAAACTCCTCTTGCAAAGTTTATTATTTTCAGAATTTATAGTCATTAATTACATTAATTACACATTTATTATTGTTTACCAGGTTTAAGAATATGAGGTTTGCTGTTTTGAAAAAAAAGTGGAGATATTTCTTATCTTATTTTGTTATCTAGAGCAAGATAACACAGCCAGAAGGAACAGAAATTTCCTTAGAAATGTTAAAGAGCCCAGTGTAATAGGTAAGATCAGTAAATGCAGGGAAAATGTAAAAAATAATTAATCTTAGGATTTCTGTATCTCTTTTAGTCTGTTATTTTGTAAAAGTAAAGATAAATAGGTCATTTGTTTTATTCAAGAATGTGTGAGAAATTAAATGTTAAAATCTTAAATTTAAGAATGCTGATTGTTGGCTCATTTTTCCTCCAAACATTAATTGTGCATCTGCTCATCAGAAGGCACTGTGTTAGCAGTCGGGAGTCTAAGATAAGAAAGGGAGACAGTGAGATGTCCCATGACATGTAAAGGACAAGGAGTATAATGGCAGGAGGAGGTGGGAATCCAGATGCCAGCTGTCAAATGTAAGTGCCCTGAACCAAAGCTTTGAGGGTCTTTGGGAACCTCCAGTTTCTTGTGTGGGAATTAACTTTATGTGAAGCTGGTAGAAAGACCAATGCGTTTTGATAGTGGGGTAAAAATTTCTGGTGGAAAAGTGCTCTAAGCAGATATTTTTGGATCATGGCTAAGCTAAAAAGGAGTTTCCTTGTGCCTGCAGCGTAGTTGAAATCAGTGCATAAACTAAACCCTTATGGTACATACATCAGCACAAGGTGGAACAGGGAAATCAATGATACTTTCCTCACGGTGCTCCCTGAAGCCTTTTGGTTGGTGGTCTTTGCGCTGGCCTAGGAGAGGCAAAGCCCTCTCTATTGAAAAGACATTAAAGGTAGGTGTCTCTAATATGGGCAACCTTAAGCAAGTGTTAGATTTCTGGAGGGAGTGAAATAAATACAACTAACTGTTTGGAAGGAAGTGAAGCGAGGAGCAACAGAAAGTTAATAAGTCTTAACTAAAATTCCAGGAACTCTGTACTGTGTATTGTTACTCTCTCTCTCTCTCTCTCTCTCTCTCTCTCTCTCTCTCTCTCTCTCTCTCCCTCTCTCTTTTTTTCTTCTCTACTTTCTGGCTGGGCCTTGACTTCTCACCAGAATTCATTTAGGCCCATGCCATCTGCACTCCTCTCAGCCTGAGGCAGACCTTCCACCTCTCAGTTAATGTTTTTTTTTTCCCAATAGTTTATGAGTCAAAAAAAGAATGATGAGGCCAAGGTAAACAAAGAAGACCTGATGAAACAAGAAACATAGAAACAAATCTGAGAATTAGCTCCGGGTTCTTCTAGGTCCTTCAGTCTGAGCCCCAGGATTCTGATGCAGTACTTTTGCAAGAGTGCTCCATTTTTGTGCCCCTGAGCACTTTCCCATGATTAGAGCCCCCTCCCCTAGGGACTCTATGTGCCCTCTTGTCCAGCTTTGGAACCCAACCTGACAACATAGCACTGCATACTTCTCTGAAGGCTGCTTCATTTTCCTGGTGAAATTGCCTTCTTCCTGACTTGACAGTTCCTTGGCTGTCCCATGCCTCTGGAACCTCTGTAATAGTGATAACCCATTGTATGTAACACTGCATTTTGGAGGTTTTTATGCCTGGGCATCACTTCTGAGCCACTTCAGTTTGCTCTCCAATTAATTTTCCAATGAGGGGTAATAAAATTCTGATTTACACTTAGTCTACTGGTTCTTGAATACAAGCTTAAAGTTAGATTCTGAAATCATATTGATATGTGTGCAACAGGACTTGATTAAGATGTGTTACTTGAAACAGGCCACTAAGCACAGAGGCATGTGCAAATGTGCATACATACTGGGTGGAAACCAGAGCCTCATGAAGCAGTAGGTAAGAAGTCACCATGAAAGATCGATCCAAGGTTAAGTTCATAAAATACAGTTCTTTTAGTTCCTAATGGACATTCCAGCTCTGGGGAAAAAGAAAAACAATGATTAACCATCCCTCCACTTCTTCCTGCATTTCTTGTCCTACAGGAAAATCTTGGTTTGCAGTTCACCTTAATGGCACCTACACAGGTGTTCGGGAACATTAAGTCCTATAAAGGGTAACGTGGCATCATAAGTTAACATTTTGATCATGTATCATATAGAAAGTGGGGATGGGAATATATAATTCAGTGGCACAGTGCCCTCCTGGCAAGCACAAAGTTCTAAGGTCAATTTCTGATAATAAAACAAAACCTAAAACTGCAAGTAGAGAAAAAATTTCAGCCTTGTAAGATCATCCAGTCTCTTGCAAAGAGCAGTACAGAACTCCGTGTTAACATTTACAGGATCCATTGAAAACAGGTATGATCTTGTAGTTCAAAGCATATGAAAAAGTCACACAATTTCGAGTTAAAATTGTTTTCTCATCAATTCCTCTGAGAAATCAGTTGGTTATTGCCATATCAAATTATGAAGAAGAATTTTAATTGATCACCTACTATATGGTAGTTTATGGGACAGACTAGAAGCATGGATACACATCCTGTCTCCTCCCCTTCATAGACTATTCCTATGTGGTTAGGCAGAAGCTAATGTACCATCTCCCTGCTTCCTTTTCCATTTATTTATTTTTATTTGTATTTTTATTTTTATTTTTATTTTTATTTTTTTTTGCAGAACCAGGTATTGAACTGAGGCCCTTGCGCTTGCCAGGGAAGCACTTATTCCACTGAGCCATCTCTCCAGCCCCAAAAAGGCAGAAGGATTTTCTTGTTGTTGCTTCGCATGCCTTCAGGGCAGGTTTGGCTGACTGGAGTTGTGCTGATCGAACCACAGCAACCTGAGCCTGACTGCTTTGTTGAAGCAGCCACTTAAAGAACTGAGCTAAGGGGAAGGCCCTTTCCTTTTCCATTTAGAAGCTGGTATGGAAGCCTTGGATGAAGACGACAGAGCTAGACGTAGCAGCATCCTGAATCCCTGCATGGTTCAAGCATAGAAGACTCTGAAACCCAAAACGAAATTTCTGTGCACAAAAATAAATGATTGCATTAAGATATTCAAATATCAGGATTTGTGTAGTGCATATGCTATCAGTTACTTAGGTGATTAACACAAAGCCCCTATTTTATCTATATGAGCTGATGTGTTTTAGTAAGTAGTATTTTCTGTGTACTGTGATTCATGTTATGCTACTTAAATGTTTAGATTGGCCAAAGAGGTTATAGGCTTTGCCATCTATGAAGTATTTTTATTAACAGGAGTAGTTGTGCAAATGTACTTATTGCAAAGCAATTCCTGAAAATACAGATCAGTCACAATTTTTTTTTTTTTTTGCAGTACCAGGGATTGAACTCGGGACCTTGCTCTTCTCAGGCAAATGCTTATTCTACTGAGCTATCTCCCCGGTCCCAACAATTCTTATCTTATCCTCCTAATTTCAGTACCTTCCTCAGAGGTATACATAAATAATAATATGATATGTAATATTTTAAAACCAAATTAAATCATACCTTTGAATATTATTAGGCAAACATGAATATTTTCTCACTTTAGAAAAAACATAATGTGGGGTCAAGGAGATAACTCAGTGGAATAAGCTCTTCCCTGGCAAGTGCAAGGGCCTGAGTTCAATCCCTGGTTCCATAAA